ATATAATTAATTAATTAATTAATTAATTAATTAATTTTCTTTTGACGCGGGGCGTCCGGGTACAGATCCCCTGTGATAAACAAGGGACTACTGTAGAATAAATAAATGAATTTGGGCTTTTGACTCAGCTGGTATGTCAGGCTGAACAAACACGGTTTTACTTTTTGTTACGTAATCTTTAGTCCTCCTGTTTTGTCTTATTTGTCTTATTTAGACAGCGTTTCCAAATAATGAGTCACAGAAATTGATGGATTCCACAAACGAGCAGGAGTTTTTAACAAGCAGTGAGTAAGAACCAGCCCGGGCATCATTCATGTCTTAAATATGGGACTAGAATGGATGTAATTATGGGTTCTAGTGTTAAGTTGTGCATTTTGTTCAAGTTTCAAAGTGTGTGTGTGTAAGGGTGAAGGGCCGGAGAGATCTGCGCTTACTTCTCCTGGCGGGTCTGCTCCGCGGTGGTTTCCATGGCGCACTCGAGCGAGCTTTGAAGCGAGTGAAGCTGATTGGTCGTCTCCTTCAGTAGGAAGCGGGTCACAAATTGCTCCAGGTGGGTGGACTCCTGGTAATCCTGTCAATCAAGGTGAGGAGGAGGAGGACACGTTAGTGTGGGAGGAACAATTAAGGGAAGCTGTGACAGTTGTCACTTGCGCCACTCAAGAGTTACTAAAAGTCCAAACCTCCTCTGTTAATCAAAATCTGCCCACAGGAAAACCCAGGAGATTACATAACACTGCTGCTCAAAACAAGAAGATAAGAAAGATGAGGAAGACGGGAACTCTTGGGTCATTTCCACTAAAATCTGCCCACTGTTGTGAAGTACTCTTAGCTACTACCACACCAAACCTTACCTTAGTATCTGTAAAACTCACCGAGTTGTAGCCATTCTTGTGATTGATAAAATTCTTTAGCTGTACCATTTTGATTTGGATTGACTCCAAAGGTTAATCAGTTGTAGATGGACATCTAATAAATAGTTGTTGAAAGTTTCACTAAAATATGTCTAGTGGTCTAAATATTTTGCTAACAGACAGAAAAAAGCAACAAGCGCACAAGATTGTACAGGCTGCCTTACACGGCGGAAGGTGAGTTGGTACAAAACATCTCACTTTAGACATCCATCCGTTCATCCATCCAACCATTATATTACCCGCTACTTCCTTTATGGGTCACAGGGGTCACTGGTGCCCACATCCAGCAGTCACTGTGCAAGAGGCAGGGGACACCCTGACCAGGTCTCCGCTAGTTCATCACAGGGACACATAGAGACAAACGAGACTGTTATGTGCCTGGGGTACATTGGCCTTATTATTTTAGAGGGCAGGACTGAGTACACATCCTTGAGGTATTCCTGTAGGAGTCAGCACAGCATTTGATGTTGTCTCCCATTCTCAAAGGTCCATCAGTCACAAAGTCCAGCATCCACTCACAAAGACCAGGTTTAGTTAGCATATTTTTAACTTGCACAGTAAACGCCACTGAGGTTGAGTTTTTTTTTTTTGGTGAAGATGAGGGTGACTAACTTTGGTGGCCATTTTGACTTGAAGTGACTCCAAAAGGTAATGAACTGTAAATGTAATCTAAATGATCATGAGATAGCCGGTCAACATTTAATAATACCAAGATATGAAAATAAGATGTTTCTCAATGTGTTCAACTCAAATTATATGTTGGAGACAATGCTCAGCTACTACCACACCAAACAATATCTCCATAGCTGTAAAATTCATCGTGTTACAGCCATTTTTCTGTTTGCATACGTCTCTTTACTTTTGCAATCTTGAATCGAACGGACTCCAAATGTTTACCCAGCTGTAAGCGTGGATATTTTGCTAATAGTACAGGCAAACAAACACAGACATGGGCAAAAAACATTATTACTCTGCCTTCACCTTAGACCAAGGTGAAGACAATTCTGACACAGATGTTCTTGTTTCCAGGTGCGAAGGCGCTATGTGCAAAGCTGCAGAAACAACTCCTGCTGTGCACCCATCGGAGCGACAAAACCTGCGGGGGCTCCGGTGACACAGCTCTATTCCTCAGGATGTGGGCCAGTACATAACTTTTTGGACGCTTTTAATATTTAAGAGACTTCTACTTGCACTTGTACCAGATTTCACTAGTATGATGAGTAGTCAAAACAAGGAGAAAGTTATTTAAGGACATAACTGCAGCAGGTGTCTGATCTTCTAAAGTAACGTCTGTAAAATACCTGAATTCAAAAAAACTGAAGAGAAAGCCAAACAGTAATGAAAGACAGAGCAAAGAGGACGATATCTGAGCTTCATTGGTGATGTCATCAAATGTAAATTAAACAGATTAGAGCAAATATGGTTTTGTTTCCAGTTTTTTTAAGTCAACTGTAAAAAAAAATAAGATGCCAGCTTCTCGCCTCCTTATGATGCATTGTTGTCAGTTTTCTGCATAAATCGTCTGAGATGAAATGTTTATTACCATTATGTTGGAAAATCACATCACTTGATGGGAGTCACTGACACTTGTTATCTTCTGAGTCAATGGTTTTATTTATGCCCAGGCTGAGCTCACTGAGAAATCTGATGGAAAAACATCAACTCTGACACCATGTTCTTGTAATTTGCCACGTCTGGAACAAAGCAGGAGGTCTGAGAGTTGTTTTTGATCGACTCGAGGATCATTGAGGAACGCTTGGCTCTGTAGTGTTTACTGCACAAACACACACTGCACCTGCTACCACAGTTTCTGCACCAGTTGGAACGCAAATGCAAAAGGAAGTGAAAATACAAATGGAGCAGTGCACAAACGAGTGTACAAATGCAAGAAGAGCAAACAAAGAGAGTGGCTGCTCATGTGTGATGAATGCATTGTAAAATCTCTGCAATTAAACATGATGCAACACACGTGACTATTTAAAAAAAAACTAGAGAAATTGCATTTCCTGTGAAAATGCATTGTGAATGCTTACTGCTGAAGAACTTGCTGAAAAACAGCTGAAATTAGCTAAAAAAAAGTGATGAAATGTAGCTGAAATGGAACAACAAGCCTAAATTGGAAGAAGAAAGCAGAAATAACACATATTTGCTGAATAAGGTTTAAATAAACAGAAATGAGCACAAATTTTTTTTAGCGAAAAGTAGCTGAAAAAGCAAAACGAAGCTTAAAGTACCAGAAGGAAGTGGAAAGAACTGACATGAGCTCAAAAAATGTGTCATTAGCTGGAAAAGCTAAAATTAGCACCAAAAGAGACACATAGTAGCTGAAAGAGCAGAAAAAGCTTAAACTAGCAGAAAAAAGCTGAAAGGAACATAGCAAGCTGAAATTAGCATAACAAAGTTAATTAGGCTAATAGCAGCAAATATAAAAAACTTGAATTTATTTGAAAACAGCTGACATTAGCTAAAACATGCTAAAACCTATCTGAAAATTTGGAACAAGCTTAAATTAGTGAAAGAAAGCAAAAATAACACATTTACCCCACTTATAACAAAAGATGAGAAATGAGCACAAAATGTAAATGATCTGAAAAAAGCTGAACTTAGCAAAAACAAACAAACAAAAAAATAAAAAAATAAACAGCTGAAAAGTAGCTAAAATAGCAGAATGAAGCCTAATTTACCAGAAGGAAGTGACATTTTTGCTGAACTGGGCTGAAAAAAGTTTAAATTATTGCAAAAATTCTGGAATTAGGTAAAAAAAAACCAGCTAAATAGTATTTGAAATAACTCAAACCAGCATAAATAAGAAGAAAGGTGCATAACAAGCTGAAATTATCAGAAAGAAGTTAATAAGGTTGAAAGTAGCAGAAATTGGCACAATAAACTTGAATTGATCAAAAAACAGCTGAAATTAGATAAAAAAAAATGCTACAAAGCTAGCTGAAAATTGCTTGTTGCTTTTAGATAATTTAAAAGTAAAGCATGCACATGCACACGCTCGCATATGAATTCACCTGGTGAGAATGAGTCATGACGGAACCGGTAAAGGTCAGCCTCTTACAACCCGAGCAGTGTGTGTCCATCTCACAAACTCACAGCCTTTACAAACAGCTTCTCTTCTGACTGGTTTGTGTCCCCCACCCCCCATTTCGTTTGCCTCTTGTGATCTTTTATTGTTAGAGACAGAAAAGGTCAAATGGGAGCTTTGTTGAAGGCAAAGCTTTTTAGCTCTCTGCAAGGTCTTGTAATGAGGCCAATAACACTCCCCTGCTGTCAGAATCACACAATTTAAGCCTGGACAGAAACTAATGTTTCCAGTTAGACCAGTCACATTTCATTTTTTAAAAGTCTGGGTCAAACTTTTCATCGCAAAGAATGTCAAAACTAAAGTAATGACAAAATCGCAGAAGCAGCACAAGCTAGTTTCAACAAATTACAGCAAAAACAGAGTGGTCCTGGAGAAACTTTCACAAGGACTGCCAGATTTGACAGTACTATGTGTATGGGTTCACACTCAGCTACCACTAAACCAAATTTCAGCTCAAAATGGCAAAATGTCAATGAGTTAAAGTCGTTTTTTGGGGGGTTTTTAAGCTATGGTGGCCATCTTGAATTTTTGATTTGGACTCAGTATACATACTGACTCACATGTGATGGGGAACGATCTCAGCTATAATCACACCAAATTCCAGCTTAATATGTAAAAATAGATGAGTTAAAACATTTAAATGCTTTGTTGGCCATCTTGAATTTTTTTAAATTCATTATTTAATGGGCATTGCTCTCAGGTACTAACACACCAAATTACAACTTAATATGTCTAAAAATGGCTGATTTACAGTATTTTTCTTTCAGTATTTTTCTTTTTTTAAGCTCAGGTTATATTGGATAATTAATTTGCAACCAGAGTCTATGAAAAATGACTACTGGTAATAAAAATGGTGTGTTTGTTTGCAAATTACGTCGCCATGGTAATTTGAAATGCCAATAAAAGTAATAGTACACATCACGGTGCCGAGCTGGTCGTTTTGATATAACATCCATGGGGGTACGCGTTGCTGTTCGGGCTGCGCTAAAGTTGACAAAAGAGTAAGATATAAAGTTAAGAAACTATTGTCAGGTGGATAATAATAGGTGGCTGCCTCTTATTAGGCAGTCACCAACTGTAGTTTGATTGCTTTAACAATGTCACAGTTCGCATGAGCAATTTTTTTTTAGAGTTAGGGAGATTTTTCTGAAAAGTAAAACAGTTACAAAATACTAATTTAAGCATTAATTACTGTAATACATTCACTTGGAGGAAATGTGAGTGAAGTAACATAAAATAACAAGTATGCAATGTATAATATAGAGCATAAAAGTAAATATATTAGTCAAAATTTGAATTGTTTTCTTTGTATAGCTTTAGAAACGGGAAAATAAAGCGTAAAATCCCTCAGATGTTTGATATGAAGAACTTCAATAATAAAAAGCATTCAAATTAACAATTTTAAACTAACAGGTTTTTAACAATATCAGCATGCAGCATCGCTCACCTTCTGCTGAACCCATTTTTACAAGTGGACAGTAATGTTCTTACTTTTGTCTCAGTTTCTGTGTTCCCAAAGCACTCCATGAACCAAAGTAAAAACTCCTGCATATCTACAGCTGGTTAACT